TTGGATCCCCTTTTTGAATTTATAACCAGCCCACCAATGCAGCAGTGCCTCAATTGAACCTGGAACCACCCAAACCAGATCCCACCATTTCACCATGTCTGACCATAATTTCCATACCACAGGACACGACAAAAGCAAATGATTCATTGACTCCTCCTCTATTTTACACAGCAAGCACACTGTGTTAGCTTCCGAATTCAACACACCAATCCTTTTCAAAAACACAGAAGTTTTAAGTCTTCTTTTCCAAGCTAACCAGCTGCAGAATTTCACCTTGAGTGGGGCAGAGTTCTTCCACAACATATCAACAGCACTTACGACTGGATCTTTTGACAGCATCCACCACTTCCATGACACACCCATAGAGTAAGAACCTGAAGGGTTTGCCATCCAAAAACAAGAATCCTCTACTTGGTTTGTAAGAACATGTGTGCCCCTTAGTACCCCTTACAACCTAACAACCTCCTTCTCCTCCGAGGCTAACAGAGATCTTCTAAACAGAAATTTCCAATCATGTGCTGACCCTCTTCTATGATTCATTTGCATAATTGTACAACCCTTCTCCTCAGACAGCCTGTATAGTCTAGGAAATTCCACCTTCAAACACAGATTATTTAACAACTTATCCTCCCAAAAAAGAAGTCTTTGCCCATTTCCTACAAGAAGCTTGAAATTAGATAAATAGTACTCAATCAACTCTGGATTAGATGCACCAAGATGGACAACATCTGACCAAATTCTTGACACTAAACAAGATTCTGGAATGGAAGGTACCCAGCCACCAGCACCGAGACCATATTTGCACTTCAACATTTGTTTCCATATAGCTCTGTCCTCCACTCCAAACCTCCATCACCATTTTATCAAAAGGCAAGCATTGATTTCTCTCAGATTTCTAAGCCTCAGACCCCCTTGTGACTTGTCCGCTGTTAAATCCGCCCATTTCACCAAGTGGACTTTCTTCTTAATTTCAGATTTGCCCCATTAAAATGCTGCCTGAATCTTCTCAATCTGTTTAGCTACTCCCACAGGGATTTTGAAGATTGATAGAAAATAGATGGGCAAACAAGAGAGGATTGACCTAATCAAAGTTAAATGGCCAGCGTAAGACAAGACTTTCCTCTTCCATGCAGCTAACTTCTTTTTGATTTGTCAAGCATTCCATCTTCTGGAGTTTAACCTCAATGTCACATCATTAGGGGTGTTTTAGCGGTGATAAATTAGACGGATGTAGCATTCTTGATATAAAAAATGCTCATACAATTTTTGGAGTAGAGTAAAATATAAAAATCTCAGTCACACACTTACAGGCGTGCAATCGTATTGATAAGTGGACTGTGTTCATACAACTATATTTTTAAAGTATTCATACTCATAGCATATATGGATTCTGCGTGCACTAAATGTTTTACAAAATAATTACTAAAAACACGAGCCTAAATGTCATTAAATGTCTATGTATCACTTTTTAAATGTATATGTATTACTTTTTTTTTTTTTTTTTTAATAATCACTCATATTTCGCGTTTGTAGTGTTACTAAATTTTTTAGTTGAAGTGTTGTGTCTATAGAATTGAAATGCATATTAGGGAACAATTACTGAGACCACTACGGGAAAAAAGGGTTAAGGCGGCGTTTTTTTAACGACGCATTTTAAAACGTCATTTTTTTAATATTTAACGACGTTTATAAAACGTCACCTATTTATTTAACAAAACGACGCCGTTTTATAATATGAAAAACGCCTTCAAATGTGTTGTGCCTCACGCGCTTGGTGTCCCCCTCTTTTCAAACCCTAATTTTGAATCTAAGACTCAGCTAAGACCCAAATCTGGAGCGCTCTCTCTCTCTCTAATAAATCTCAGAGCGATTTCGAAGCTCCACCGCTTGTTCATTCTTAGAGCGAGGTAGCGAGAACCAACGAAGGTGAGCTCCACTGTCTCTCTTTCTCTCTCAGCGCTCTCTAAACCCTTATCAGAGCGATTCAGAGATTCATCTCAATGATTTCATCACAGAGATTCAGAGCGATTTCATCTCAGTGATTTCATCGCAGAGATTCAGATCGGTCTCCACCATCTGCACCATCGTCTACTAAGGTGAGCTCCACTGTCTCTCTCTCTCTCTCAGTGATTGATGAGTTGTATGTGCTCTGTTTCAGTAATTGTTTTTCACCAATGAGTTGTATATGATCTGTTTCATTGCCTTATCTTTGTTTGGTTGCTGAGAAAACTGGGAAAAAAATATTAAAGAATATAAATCTGGATTGTTTTCTTTTTTCATGCCCTTGATTTTGCTATTATTTCAGTTCTAGCATTCATTCATTTGAGATTCAAGTTATTCTGAAATCACATAATTACTGTCCGGTCTTTTAACATTTGATAGAAGGAACCTAGGAGATCTTACGCGCTATTGATCATGTTAGTACTTGCAACTATTCTGAAAAATAAATTGATAAATGTGATATTTTAGAGTTATCATCCATTCAATTTGGTTAGTATATGACACATTTTCTTGGCCAAAACTAGTGGTCTTTATTACATGTATAATATGCCGATCCACTTGAAAGGGCTTTCCTTGATTAACATTTTTAGTAGAGTTTTGATTATTACTATTCCATTTTCTTTATAGTTGCCATTGAAAAAATTAGCAGAAACATCATTGAAATGAAAATAAGAATATTACAAAATTGGAATGTGAAACAGAAGGAAATATTTCAAAAAATAGAACATTATTTGAGAGAACCAAAACTTCTTGTTTGTCTTATGCGGGTTATATATTGTTAATTGATTTAGAAAATGCTTAATGATCTCATACTTCAGCAAAAGTGTACTAAAGAAGCCTAACGACATGTAAAAAGGAGAAAAATAGTGAATTGATAGCTCCAGTTGGTCATTTATCTTTTTCTGCTGCCCGTATAAGGGGGAAGATGAAGGATACAGCTTTTCTTCCTGCATTTCATCATAATACAATAAATTGATTCTTTATGCGTCATATGCTCACTTTTGGAGACTTGATCAACACCATTCAAAATTTTATTTCATCATGTAAACTTGTTAGTAACTCATACGAGGCTGTTATTGGTGGTTTGAATGTCATGTGCATTTGAAGTCTTATCTCTTTGTATGGAAATCTATGTGGGACATCATTATAATCTTCGTCATGTAGGTTATTAAGCAATTATATATGAACCTTACATCTACTGTGGGCATGTGCTCTTTTTATGAACTGTCTGACAGATTTGTGTAAAATGCATGTGTTCTAGGAACTTTCTGACAGATTTTCATTTATTTATTTATTATATTACCCTATTTAGGGTTGTCATGTCCATTTTTCTAATGTCAAGAATGAATGTAATGGGTTTTAAATAATTTATGGTTGGTGGCTTTTAGATATTGTAACCACATCTTTATATAAAAACTATTATATATATAACGTGGTAATATAAATTTATTTAATTCTTTTGCATGGATAAGATTGTTCAACATTATTACTATTTTTTTTTTTTTAATATGTGCCAATTCTCTCTCTCACTCCTTCCTGTTTCTTTTCCTTTCTTTTCTTTTTTTTTCTTTTTTTAATTTTTATGAATCTCAATAGGAAAATATATGTGTGTGTGAGGGAACTGACCTTGGTTGCTCTTCACTTTTGTTTTGTGTTTTTGATAAGATATATAAGGAGTCAATAGGTACTGCTCCTGTTAATTGTAACTCACAGATACAATTATGTGGACAGAAAAACTAGTTGAGGAGCACAGGGAGTTCGATGCTGGCTACATTTCTACAATTTCTGTTAGGTAATGCTGGCTACATTTCTACGATCATGTTAATTGTAACTTCTGTTAGGTAATGCTGGCTACATTTCTACGATCATGTTAATTGTAACTTCTGTTAGGTAATGCTGGCTACATTTCTACGATCATGTTAATTGTAACTTCTGTTAGGTAATGCTGGCTACATTTCTACGATCATGTTAATTGTAACTTCTGTTAGGTAATGCTGGCTACATTTCTACAATTTGTGTTCCTCAAGTCATGAATTTTGTATGCATACTTGCATATAAAGGATTTTGTGTTAAACATGGTATTAGCTATTTTATCACTTGTTTACCTATTTTTTATATCCACTTAATAATGCTTGGTATTAGCTATTGGAATACTCTCCTTGGTGTTAAACATGGTATTCATTCTTTTTATTGTCTTCTTTAGAGAGGATGCAGGGTCTCAGTGTCTTTGTCTAAATTATCTTAAATTTATGATTCTTCAAATGCATTTCCATGAAGTTACATGACTCAGCATTGAACTTTTGATTTGTGCTTTAATGTCTAGAATTCATATTATTTATGAATTTGGACAAATCTAAATGGATTTTAAATAGATATAATTGGTGGAGTTCATGATTTTGGATTAAGTTTACCAACTCTAGCTGGTATTAAATTGTTTTTCTTTTTAATGGTATGATAATCCAATAAATAAGGAAATGCACTTGTTGGAAACTAGGATTTTATGATTTTGTTGCCTTGTCGAGTCTATAATTAGTGTTAGGTGGGGTCATATATCTTAAGTTGGAAAATGCTGCAATCATTTGCTGCTCTTTTTACAGAGCCTGACATGGAAATTTGTGGATGACAAGAATTGTAAGTTCGTAATGTACGTCTGATTATGCCATCATCTATTGAATGTAAAAGTTCATTGTCCAACATTAAGAAAAAGAACTTTTAAGCTATCTGAGTTATGCTGCTGATTTTGAATCAATTTCTGTTTGTGTATAAGATATTGTAGAATTCTTGCGTGTACACCACTTAGCTGCTTTCTACCTGTGAGCATGCTTTACTTTTGACATTATTCTACAAAATACGTAATTTGGAAACCTTTTGAAGCTGGTTTTTTCAATTCTATTTCACCAATTTATATTTATTTGCTTTTGTTTTAGTGGGCTTGAAACTTATTTTGCTAGTTTTTTCTTTTGTTCATGCAATGACAGATGGCTTGTTAAGCTTTTTGTAGCAAGTGGGACATCTTGGTACCCAGCATATTTGGAGACTTTTCGTATGATGTTTCAGAATTATAGTTCAGCCTGTCACTCTACTCAGTTTCATGCTGGTGCATACCATACTTTTTTTTTTTTAACTTGAAGCATTTTATATTTTTCAGGTAAAAAAACGCTACTTCCATACTCATGATTTGGGCCAGAAAACTGGTTTGCTAAACCTTTCCATTAAAAGGATCTGGAAGATCATTTATACTTATTGAGGATTCATCCGCTCCGATTTTGTTTCCTTCTTCACCAGTGCAACATGAGTGCATACCTCAAGCTATTTTAGGAATGGATGTCATCTGTCAAGCAAAGTCAGGGATGGGGAAAACTGCTGTGTTTGTTCTTTCTACTCTGCAGCAGATTGAACCTGTTGCAGGACAAGTTGCTGCTCTTGTCATGTGTCATACGAGAGAATTAGCTTACCAGGTATGCTGGGAGACCTGGAAGTTAGTATTTAGGCGTATTTGTTTGAGTTCTTGGACATTGTATTTCCAATAATGTGATTTTGTTTCTTAACTAACCATTACTTTTTATTATTTACAGATCTGTCATGAATTTGAGAGGTTCAGTACCTATTTGCCTGACATTAAGGTTGTTGTCTTCTACGGTGGTGTCAATATCAAGGTTCACAAGGATTTACTGAAGAATGAATGTCCTCATATTGTTGTTGGTACTCCTGGGAGAATATTGGCTCTTGCAAGAGATAAGGAACTCGGCTTAAAGAATGTGAGGCATTTTATCCTTGATACTACTTCCTTTGCAATCATTTAATGTAGAGGTTTTGATGATGAAATGAGAGCAGTGGTTGCAAGAAATCTGGAAGGCAGGCAAATTAATTTGCATCCCAGGACAAATCTGACAGAGGTTTCATGAGAAACAGGCACATTAAGTCAACACATTTACTTTGATCTGTGAAGTAACTTGACAATTATCGTTGTGTTAAATGTTTGATTTTTGGTAGTTCTACCAAGATTTGGCAAATTCAGAGAAGGCTCTTGAATGCCTCCAACGGGTCCTGCAAATTGATGGAAGGTATTATGTTGTGGATACATTGTTTTCTTTATCTTTTGGTTTACGAAGATTTTGTGGTGCTTGATTCCCGATGTGATGTCCATTCTCTTCACTTACGTTGGAGATACTTGAGAGTCTTTCTTCTATAATAGGTTCACCAAAGCAAATTACCTACTTCTCCATGGGATGGGAGAGCACAGGTAACCTGTCCATCAACTTAGTTTTTATTTTTTTCATCCTTTTCTTTAAGAGTATGTCCAAATCACTAATTTAATGCAACCACCAATGAGTTAACTGAATAGTCTTTATGATGTTATTGACCATCCATATAAACAGCATTGTTTGGTGCTTTTTGCCTCTTATGTGCTATACAAATTCTTATACCAGTTTCACATTTTACCCTATGCACAAGTCTCCCTTGTGTCTTTATCTCGTTTTTTCATTCATTCCATTCCTATCCCTCATTATTGGGTGTTAGGAGGGGTAGATTGGGTCTGAACTTAAATTTACATGTAACATTACAACCTATTGCTTTTATTGTTGCCCTTTGTAATAATCAATGAGAGCATTAATGCTATTGCTTAATATAGAAACATAAACTGCTTTCATTTAACTTTTCTACATTTTAGTTTCTACTTTCTAGTCTTCCCCGTCATATTAATGGTAATAAAGATAATCCAAATGCCTAATCATGTCCTTTTTCCTTCACCTCTTCTTTTTTCACTTCTCTGTGATTTTATGTTTTTTTTACACATTTATCTAAACTCTATACTAAACCATTGGAACAGCTTAGCTCAGCTAACTCTAATCCTTAAGGTTTGTTGATGTCTATTGTTTTTATGTTACTGTTTGGTCAGAGCATTTTCATGTGGAAACTCCCATCTTTTGCACAAATATATTGCACCTACATGGTCTTAGCTATGTTTCTAACCATCTTTTGCCTGGCCATACCGTAACTCTCACTCCTGCATTCTTATTCCTGATTGAAGGCAGTGCGACATGGTAGAGCTCTTGTGCGAGTATCATTCAACAGTAATCTGCAGAAGTCGGACTACATTATGGTAACGGCTGATCCTCTTCAAATCCTGGAAATATGTGCCTTTAAAAGCAGATATTCCTTTCTTTCATAGGATATTAGAGTGTTGAAATTGTACAAGAAAACTGCAGAAAAATGTTTACTTTTGCATGATTATGTCCTGAAAATAGCTTGCCTCTATAAACTGCAGTAATTCTAGAAATTATTCAAAACACTAGTCCAGTCATTTTTGCTTAAAAACCCTATTCTCTTTGTATCATTTTTCTTCGCTCACCATACACATGTGCACACATGTATGCACCCATACATGCGTTTGACTTTTTTGATTGTTTGCAGACACCTGCATAGTGGTGCAAGATTAGCACCAAACACTAGATGTCTAGAACTAGGATATTGTTGACGACAACACAGTTGAATGTGTAAGGAGAGGCTTTTGTTTGTGCTAGATGACACAAGCAGCAAACGATAGACGTTTGGAATTCTTTAAGTGAATGCTGAAGCCAGATCTAATGGCTGATAGTTATTTGTTGCAATTATAAATTAAAACCTTATAAGAAATTTATTTTTGAATCACTCAGTTCTCTGTGTCTGAGATTGTTTTACTTTTACATGGATAATTTTAGTTTGGACTGCATGTGAGCTTATTTATGATTTTCTCTCTGTTCCAATGAGTTCATAATAATTCTAGATTATGTTTAAATAAGTCCTCAATTTATTATTTTTTTTATTCTGCTTTCAGTGCAAGCCTTTTCTGGTATTTTTTATGTAGTCCTCTTTGCAATTTAAAATCACTGTTAAATTGTGAATTTCTTCAGAATGCAGTTGGTTCTCATTTATACCCTCAGAATCCAGTCCTCCGCCTTGGAAGTCAGCTCAACTTCAGTGTAGAAGGTTGGTGTATGATAAAATTTTACATTAATTTTTAGTTGGTCACAACTAAAACTCACAAATCCATTTCGGAAATCTAGATCTAAAAGACAACATTGAATTAATGTTTAAAAAGCCATACTAATTGTATATGTCAGGTAGAAATCTTAGTCTGAAATTGATGAATAATTCAAATGCTATTTTTTTTTGTCTGAAATCTATACTAAACCATTGGAACAGCTTAGCTCAGCTAACTCTAATCCTTAAGGTTTGTTGATGTCTATTGTTTTTATGTTTCTGTTTGGTCAGAGCATTTTCATGTGGAAACTCCCATCTTCTGCACAAATATATTGCACCTACATGGTCTTAGCTATGTTTCTAACCATCTTTTGCCTGGCCATACCGTAACTCTCACTCCTGCATTCTTATTCCTGATTGAAGGCAGTGCGACATGGTAGAGCTCTTGTGCGAGTATCATTCAACAGTAATCTGCAGAAGTCGGACTACATTATGGTAACGACTGATCCTCTTCAAATCCTGGAAATATGTGCCTTTAAAAGCAGATATTCCTTTCTTTCATAGGATATTAGAGTGTTGAAATTGTACAAGAAAACTGCAGGAAAATGTTTACTTTTGCATGATTATGTCCTGAAAATAGCTTGCCTCTATAAACTGCAGTAATTCTAGAAATTATTCAAAACACTAGTCCAGTCATTTTTGCTTAAAAACCCTATTCTCTTTGTAGCATTTTTCTTCGCTCACCATACACATGTGCACACATGTATGCACCCATACATGCGTTTGACTTTTTTGATTGTTTGCAGACACCTGCATAGTGGTGCAAGATTAGCACCAAACACTAGATGTCTAGAACTAGGATATTGTTGAGGACAATACAGTTGAATGTGTAAGGAGAGAAAAAAAGAGCTATAACGGCGTTTTTTCAAAACGCCACTACAGTGCCAACGGACATTTTTTTAAAATAAAAAAATCTATCACGGCGTTTTAAAAACGTCGCTAAATATTGGATGACGTCATTTTATCATTATTTATCGCATTTAGCGGCGTTTTTACTAATTTTACGACGTTTTTAAAGCGTCATAAACTTATAGCGACGACCACGTCCTCGACGTTTGGTGATAAGCGTCACTAAAGGAATTAGCGGCGTTTTTCATACATATAGCGGCGTTTTTAAAACGCCGCTAAAAGTCATTTTTCCAGCAGTGGACCTATCTTTAATTTTAGGGCAAATAGCATGGACTTTCACGAAGGCCTCATTTGGGGACTAAATATTTTAATTAAAAAGTTAAAAAGTTACTATAAATTGTTATATCACTCTCTCTACTTTTTTACATATTTTTTTTTTATAAAAAATCAAAAAATTATTAAAATAATCTGTTCTCAAACGAGGCCTAAGTTTGGAGAAAATATAATATATCTCCCAAGTTTAGCACAATTACAATAAGCTCTCTATGATTTTAATTTATATAATTACACATAATTTTATTTTTAGTAATTCGTTAGTCATACGAATAGAAAAATGATATGTAAAACTTGTAATATTTTCCCCAAACCCTTGAAGAAGTGTAATATACTCTTAATTTTACGAGTAGTAACTAACCAAAATGCTCGGAATAGACCGCGCCATGAAGTATGGTGCTTTTATCATCCCGTCGATAAAAGCCTATATGCCCTTCCTCTCCATCTTCTTCTTTTCCATCACTTGTAAAAGTTCTTTTGACTTCACCGTCAAGAAACTTGAACATTTCCATCTTTCCATACCTCGCTGCACGGGCCAAGGCAGTCTCCCCGCTTCTATTGCGCTCATGCAACAGAGCGGGGACTTTGCGCAGCATTTCCCGAGCAGTGGGGATTAGTTTATTGGAGGTAGCCACATCGTGGAGGATGGTGTTTCCAACATCGTTCTTTGCCGCCAACATGTGGTTTTCAGTTTCTGGCACCTCCCAGAGTAAACTCAACACCAACTTTTCTTGTTTGCCATATGTAGCCATGTGTAGGACTGTTTCATGGTGTATGGTTAGTTCATGTAATGGCCCTTTTTGGACCTGTTTGCAGAGTTCAATTACTCTGTTCTCATTTCCACTCAACAAAGCTCTGTATAACTCTCTGTTTTTTATGTGCCTTTCATTTTTTGTGGGGTGAGCCATGAATGAGAGGAGGCTTGAAGAGAGAGTTTATAAGTTGGTATATATAGATGTTGTTTTATAAGAGCAATAGTACATGTAGCAGTGGTCCAAGATTTTTAGAATCCTCAAACTATTAACTTAAAATTTTGGAGTCCTCGACAATAAGAGTATTTTGATATTTTTTAGATGGGTATTAGGCGATAGACTAAGTGAATTAATGGTTGAGTCACTTCTAAATTTATGTTCTATAATTCTTATTATAACACATTTGTCCAACCATCATTGAATGTCTATGTATTATTATTTTTTTGATTTGGATTATTTACTCCAAAACCCGTTAAACTATTAACAAATATCACTTTATCTTTCTCATGTATGAATCCATACATTTTGACTCCCTTAACTATAAAAATATATCACTTTCACTTCCCACAAACCCCCTTTCAGGCCATCTCTAAAAGGGGTGCATTTGATTTTCATAGTTGAGGTTCATGAATGAGAGGAGTAAAGTTAAGGGATCTTAGTGTAATTAATCCTTATATATATATTTTTTTTGTAAGAATGTTAATATCTATACAATTATTCGTGTATTATCACAACCTACATTGTATTGTGCATAATTAAATGTTCTAATTAGGAGATGGCATCAGTCATGTGAAATTGAAGAGTACGCTTGGTTTGGATGTTCTCATCTTATAACAAGGTACTAG